TCACAAAAGTATAGTAGTTGTGTTGCTACATATTCCTATTGCAATAGCACTCACTTTGACTCTCTAATCAATACAGAAGCCCTATTTTCACATCTGTGCAAGGTGCTGTACACACAATAAAAGATGATCCTTATCCTATACCTTTTACCAAGCTTGTGAAGAATATCTATTTGCAGAGAAGTTAAGCTGCCCTTTATTGTTTTCAGAAATCATGTCTCTTAGTCTCTCCTCTTACCACAAGAATTGACCACAAACTTTTCCCACCTAAAAGGAAATGCGGATTTTTCACAGGAAAATATTACAGGTTTAATTATTAACAGCTAATGGTTACACATCATCAGTTTTCAACGAGACAGTACTCATCATTTGCTTTTAGCTTCAAGGTTTTCTTCCTCCTCCTCCTCCCCATAATAAGTATATGCACTAAAACTAGTATCAGCGGTCTCACTTAGAGGACAAGATGGGCAAACAAGTCTCAGGACAGTACTTTTGAGCAATTAGTTTTGTCTTTACAGTGCTTAGAGTATCAGGGGCCTTACTTAATACTGTTCTGAACAAATCTTGAGGGTTCTTTTTTCCTTTAAGAAATGGCACTTCTGCAGAAACATTTTTGGATTTCTGAACTTTTCCCTTATTTTCTCCTGATGGTCAATTTTAACATTTCTTAACAGAAAGGAAGACAGAAGAAAAAGAGAAGCTGCTCTTGCAGAATTAGGAGTAATACAGGTCGCTTTACTGGGTATATTCTCTTATATTAGGATTTACCATCTGTTCAGTCCCTAATTATATTTATTTCACAACTTCACAAACAGAAAGATGAAAAGGCTTTGAAACAATCTTATCTTTCACCTAAAGAGTTTTGAATTCTTTTGCAAAGATTGTTCCTGTATGCCACAGCCACATGCAGTAATGAAGTGATCACCGACTTCAAACTGATGTATAGAACACACACGACCTGCTTGTTTTCATAAAAGTGTGTATATGCTGCACCTGACCTTTCACTTTAACCATTTCTCTCATCCAGACATTTTTAAACTAACTATCACTGTCGGTCAAAACCACCTATGATGGCAAAACTGAAAAGGCAGCAATCTTTGCAGAAACTCTGACACTGTTTCTACGGATACATTATAGCCAGATCACTCCTGATTCTTAATGAACTATGTGAAAGGCAATCCTAACCACCCAGTAAAAATTCAGGCACAGAATTGCCGTTCTTTTCCAAGAGCTCTACCGATGTTGAAGGTTCAGCTCTTAGTAAAGTTTAAATTGGAAGAAAAAAGGGACAAAACAAACATCAAAAAATAAGCACCCTTGTAAAGCAAGTCTAACCAATAAGAGGTATTTATGGCGATTGCCTGAACATAAAAACAGTAATGATAATAAATAAAGCACCTACTGTAATATTGAATTACTACTTAATTTGATCTACTGTTTAATTTTCTCAAAACCTCTGGCACTAAGTAATTTGTGATAAGAATAATTTTATCTTCATATTTTTCATCAATCTTGACTGCCCTACACAGACATTACTACCCTTTGGTCATTAACTGCAAGACAGCTGGCAATTAATACAGAAGACCAAAATTTGGAGCAAGAGAGAAGACAATGAGAACCCGACAAATCCTCATGACAACATACCAAACTGCTACTAACAGCTGTCTATTTTCAGGTGGTTTTGTTGACAAAGTAAACTTTACTACAAGCTATGCAAGAAATGAGAAGTCCCCTAGGGCTTGCATGGGTCAGATCCACCTTAAACTCAAGTAGGGTGCAATTCCCACTGGGGCTGATGGAAGCTGTACCCCTTTCAACCAAGATTCAATTTGATCCACGTGTAAAGGTCCACCACCTAATGCAATGAAGTATTCAGTAGGAACTTGACCAAAGCAAAGGAAGGGGTATAATGACAATAATTTGTACTCACATAACAGCATTTGCCAAAGACCTTAAATTCATTTAAAAGTAAAAAATTAGCCACCTTGAGTAGTATCTGTTATTACAGACATTATGTCAGATTGGAAAACTACAACTAAAAGCAGTTACGTTCCTCCCTGCAAGCTAGAAAGCATGAAATTTCACTCCTATGCAGAAGGGCCAGCCCAAAGACTACAGTCTCTCCTTAAGTCCCCCATAAATCCTTTAAGTAGGACTTAGAAGTTATACAGGATTGAGGAGGTGGACAGGTCCCATACTGGTCCTTCAGTACAGGAGTGAAGTTTACCCACGTGAACCAGTAAAAAAGTAAAAATAAAATGCATCTCACATTCAAGTTTGAGCTAGCTATTATTACACTGCACTGACTTAAAAAAAAAAAAAGGTTGAGGGTTTTCTTTGAGAATCCAGTGCTCGTGCTGTTATAAAGCACAGAAGTTTGCAGTCCAACCAACTGCCCTACATTAGGATGTAGGTATTTAGCTTAATTTTTGTTCTATATGCAACACTCGATCATTCTGTTAATGAAAAACTAGATTTAGAAAGAAATTCACACAATACAGCCCCTACTCTGAAAGCATTTGTTGCATGTGTCCACATGCTTGTATGGCTTATATTCTGCTCTCTGTAAGTGCATTTGACCAACAGTACCACTATCAAAGCCCTCCTTGACCTGTCTACTTCAGTGTTCTCCCACAACTCAATTAACTTTTTAAAAATAAAAAGTTGTCCCTAAAAATAGGCCAGACCTGAATTCCCTCCAGCGTATGTACCCAGTTTCTTAAATATGAATCCTTAGATTTGGATTCTTGTGATACATTCTTGAGTCAGAATTTATTTTAAATAGCTGAGCCCTGTTTCAACTTTGAGACTAAGCAGCTGTGTTTCTGTAGTGCCAGGTACATTGCGATTCTAGTCCCTGACTAGAGTTCTGGGTAATTTTGTTGCTAGTAAAAGCAACAGCAGAAAACGCTCTGCGTGGAGTTCTCAAGATAGTCTGATGAGAGGGGAAGAGGGTTTTTTTTGTCTAGTGATATTCAGCAGCTGACATATATCCTACATTCGCTCTGTTAAGCTACGTAAGGTTCTTGAATATGCTCTTAGTTGTTCTAATTTAATATCTAATTCTTTTACAAAACTTGGAAGTAGCTGGCTACATTAATTTCTTGTAGGAAATGCAAAGCAATTTTTTTTTTGTTTGAATTCACACAAAAACCTTGTGAATTAGAGATAAGATACCGTGAACTTTAATACTAAGCTTTTGACCCAAACGTAATCTAATGCAAATACAAACATTTCTTCATCAACAGCTTTATCACTGCGACTGTACTTAATGGCTTTTCATCTTTTGTTTAATTCAAACATACAGAAAACTCAATTGTTCTCCACCCCATACTTCACTACTGTCTTATAGACTGATTATGAAACATCCATGAAAATAAATAGTTCCAGTTGGAAAAAGAAGTTGGGAGAGCCACAAGATGACTCATTCTAACATACCACCTGAGAGATTTTAAGCAGTCATGGTTACGGCTAAATTACAGACAAGACAACAGCACACACTGAAGCAGCGATGCAGGTATTCCAAATCCCTGAAAGGCTGCTGCAGCTATTACAGATGAGAAGTTACGCCACAAATACTAAGTTTCTAGAGGGGCATCTCACAGGTAAACAGCAGTAATTTAGAACTGACTCCCAGTGTCTTCCTCAGTAAAGCATTTCAAGGGCAATACTCGAGAGAAACTTATAGGGACTGTTTGATACTGGGCAGGATGTTCTACTATTAGGTAGAATATTGGGTAATCCGGTATTGCCAAAACGCTGGTATTTAGGTTTACCAGAAGAAAGTATTTATTTTTTGACATGTGACAGAGTTTCAGTGGAAAACTGCCATGAAAGAAAAGAGTTGTGCCCATCTTATCTAGTAACAGCATACAGCCCCTGTGAGATAGAACAGTGCTTTCATCCTTACTTTATAGACTCTAGGGGAACAGAGGCTAAAAGGTTGGATGAGAATCAGGCATCTGAAAACTACAAAACTACACCTAAGAGAGCGTGTACGCTGCACCACGCTTTCTCTACAGACTGGCCGCTAATTTCACCTTGGCTTCTGCAAAGCTTCTCCCAGGTGTAAAATTAAGTTATTTTAGAACAGAAGGTTTTCTGTGGTGGGTTTTTTTTTTTTTAGTGTGTTTACAATCGATCATTTCATAAGCAACTGGAAAAAGAGGCAATCCAGGTACTCTGAAAAGTTAGTGATATTATATTAGTTATACTACAAAAAAGGACTTTATTCTCAAGGGCTATAATAAAAGGCATAGCGTTTGCATGTTTTTCCCATAAATACAACAAAAAAAAACCCCAACCCAAAACCAAAAGTGGTTTCCAGGTGAATTCACACATGCAAATCTACTGGTAGAAACGTGTCCCCAAGCTCCATTCTAATACAAAAGTTCAAGTTACCTATGCTACCATGGAATTCAGCCTCATCCGCACTCTTATAATCCTTTACTAACAAAAGTGCCCTACACTAAAACCAATTTTAATGCTCACATTTTCTCTATATCAATATAAGTGTTTTGTGATCCTCACCTGATATAAGGTAGTATAGAACATTCTCCCACCTATGGCTACGCCCACTATACAATTGCTTTGTATACAATACGTTTCCAACAACACTTACAAAACAACATCAGTGAAATGTTTTCAACCTCAGGAAAAGCCAGTTGTATTTAAATAAACAGTAGGATAATGTCTGGTGAGAGACATGTTGTCGAAGTTTATCTCTAGGGCACAACTTGAAGTTTGAAATCAAGCCCACTTGATCTGAGCACAGATTTGAAGATGGAAGCATCACTTCACTATGCACCAGGCAACAGCAAAGACAAAACCTGAGTTTATTTAGTACTTGCAGTAATTACAGATCCCCTGTTGTCTGTAGTGCTGTTCAGTGCATGAAACAGTGTAGCTTCTTCTGTCAATGGTAACAAGCATTTCAATTAACAGATCGGTCACCCAGTACACCTGTACAGATTGCCACTCCTACGGACCAGGCTGAGACTCACCTATGAGAGAGGGTGGGTTTCATGGAGCTCATAGAGTTCATGGGGGGTTGCATGGGTAGCTTCCCTGGAGGATCGTTCTGCCGGCTTTTCTGGTGGCGAAGCAGCAAGAGCCGTCCCAGCTCCTCACACCACGACGAAAGCAGCGCTGCGCAAACAGAACACAATGACAGTAAGCGCACAACTCAAGAACCAGCACAGCCGAGTGCAGACGCAAACTACAGTAACAGGAGTCACAATCCAAACAGACAAACCCCAGGAGTGAAAAGCTTGTCCACGAACCACCACTCACATTATTATCCTATCAAATTGAGTCTGTAATTGCCCTACGCTATCATTATAATGTTTTTACACAAGTTACAAACATTCTGCACAGCCCGGGAGGCACGAGAGAACTTGTCTGAGCTGAGCGGCACAGAGATGAAGAATGGATGAGGCACAAGGACACGGGATAGCTGTTGTGAGTAAAAAAAGACGCCAAAGACTTCATTTCACACTAATAGAAACGCAACAAAAACACACAGAAGACATCATTCACAGAGAGGAGCAAAGAACAAGATGATCTCTTTTCTGTTCAGCTGTTTTTGTGCAAAAGATTAATTGGAGAGGCATGAAGAGAAACCCATGTGCAGGAATTCATTTCCAAAACTGCTATCAGCTACCAGTCTTGAATAGATAAACAGGAGAACATGGCCACACTGATGTATGGATACAAAGTTAGGCACTTAAATCTATATTTGACCCAGCACAACCCCTAAATGTGTATTTCCATTATGTGCCTAATCTTCTGGTCAATGAGGGTAATTCTGTGCTTACAGGAAAATCATGCTTATGAACTATGAAGATGCAGAGATTTCCTAGAAGGATGAAAAGCTTGCAACTCCCTCTGAAGACATGAAAAGGGGTCGTTATCTCTGAAAACGTGGCCTCTCCGTTCCGCACCCACACTCAGAAAAGATCAGCCCCTGTTAAAGGAACCACCTACTTTGCAGTAAGCAGAGCCCCAGAAAGTGACTGCAGGTGAAATCTGGCTCCCATGAGTGCACCCAGCCAAGACACCCCACTGAAGCCTCCAGCAACACCCAACTGAGCCTCAAAGCTGCCTGTTTAATTCCAGCATCAGAAGGGGCTCTGGTAAAAAGTCACCGAGGTATGACACGGTGAAGAGTTTCCCTGAAACAAAGTGCAGACTAATTGCAAAATTCTGCAGTTGAAGAAACGTTCTTAAGTCGAAGTGCTTGGGTTTTTCCTTCTTTAAAGTATGCTTTACAAAACCCTCAGAACAAGAAAATGCTTTGTATTTAATTTTTAACTAAGTGCTTTCCTGAGGTGTTATGAACCGAACACAAATCAACAGATTGCACAAGTAGGTGAGAACCAGAAGACTACTCAAATCCCAAGCTGCCACGGCGGTTTAGAGTAAGAGAGTTCTACATGTAATTTTAGGCTTGCTGGTTTAAAAGAGACAAGTGCAGAATTCTCTAAAATTGAAGCTTTTATTTTCATTTCTTATTTTTCTAAAGGTTGTCTTTTCACCAAATAACATAATCATAAGCAGTAGCAAACTATCAGCTTAGGGTACGCCACCTTCTTTTTCCAGTAGCTACTCACAGGCACTGTTAACACATACCTAGAACAAATTCCAAAGAGACTAATTGTAAAGTCGTATTTGTAGGGGACAAAAAAGGAACGTGCTTTGCCAAGAACACCCACAAATACGATTTTTCAGTATGAGAAACAAATGGAATTTCTCAAGTTTAACAGCCACACAAGAAAAATACTTAAAGCCCAGGCCATTCCTGTGAATTAATCACACATTTGGACAAAGGAGAGGTAGCAATTTCATTGCTTTTATCAAGCAGAAGGTCAAGAGCAGTGTTTAGGGAGGCATTTTAGAGTTCTGCTGTGACAAAAAGGGGACACCACTTCTTTATGTAACTAAATATGGTCACTCGGAAATTGTCAGCCTCACATGCAGCCTACAGAAAGCATTCCCCCGAGCTCTGTGAAATGTTTCAGCAACGAGTGTCAGTCTAAGCTGCTTCTCTATTAGCCAAGGAATCTGTCAACAAGCATTTGATCAAATTATACTCACCTTTTATCCCTGGCATATCATTACTAATGTGCCAGTGACAAAGGCCCCCCTCCCCCTTTTCCAGCCGCCTGGAGATACAAATCCCTGCCTCACAGGGCTTCTTCCTGCGCACCACAGCCACTTGAGCTCTGAGAAACATGAACAAAGTGTTCTGCTGAACGCTAAACGCAGCCGCCGCAGAGTAATAGTGGATGCTGAGCACTTCCACAGCGGAGTGTAATTACTACGGTGTCAATGGAAATCGTCCATCTTAAACGAGGCTTTGACGGGAGGAGGGAGCTGCTCCTTCTGCACACCTATACGCACTTGACAAATAAGATAAAAAGCAACAACCCGATGGGTCTGAGGGCATAAATCTGCAAACAAAAGCCAAACCTGCTTGGAAAAAAAGCGGAGTAACTCCCAGAAAAGGAATATGCCAATGAGATAGCATTGCTTTGGTGAGGTGAAGATAAGGAAAGATCTTAATGAGTTGTTATTATTATTGCCAATACCCAATACACACATTTATAAAGGTGAAATGTAAACCATCAAAGAACAAAGAGGTCCTCAAGATAAGCTGGACGGTTTCATTCTGCAAGTTATCTGGGGAGGACTCATGTTTTTAGAAACTAAGAGACTGTAGGTATAAAACGTAGCAAATCTACTCATCCCTATCACAGCACTCATTACGGAGAGGTTTAACCTTTCCTCCCCCGGGACATTTCGACTCATGTACCATGTATAATAATCGCTCTCTTCCCTGCATCGGTGTTTGTGCATGGAATGAAAACAGAGCTGTTTGTAGCTGCCTGAGGAGTTACCAGTCCCCCTCTATCCTGCTCAGCAGGAGCAAGAACCCTCTAAAAGAGCCTGCTCTCCTCTGCTGGAAATGCCAGGGCGGCCTCCCTTCTCCCCTGCCCCATCAACCTCCACTGCTCTGCTCTCTGCTTGGTAAGATGAATATATACCCCCCACACACATCTGGTACAGCTGGCTTCTGGAGAACATCACTTCCTGGGCTATTCAAGCAAGATGAAACAAACTCAAAATGAATTTACAGATTACACTATTCATCTTTAGTGTACTTAGTTACTGCTTTTTATGCTGACGGTATTAGGCGCATCTCAACTCATTTACACTCAAAGCACGAGAAATTCAGTATCATACTATAATGAACAGATAAAGCAGCAAGCACAAAGGACAGCTACAGATGGTGCCAACAGTCAGTCTCTCCCTCTCATAGCACAGCCAAGCAGCTGCTTTTTCTCCCCCCTCCGCCCCTCCTCCTTGTACAACAGGAGCACAGATTTTGCAGATGGACCATCCACACCGTCTCTCGCAGCCTCTTGCTGCGACAGTTTAATGATCAGATTTAAATCCTGTTCCTGTGCTGCATTGCTACAATGTCCCTTGCATATAACGATGTGGCTTTCCTGCTTAAGTTGAAGTCAACTGTTGCAATGAGGGGAAAGGAAAAATCCTTAAATGTGCACCCCTCCACACCCCCGTACGCAGCCCAGGTGTAAAATACAACCTGGTTAATACACCAGAATTGACGTTTTCAGCCCCTGTTCAGGCACAGAGGGCTCTGCCAGCTCATGCCAAAAGATGCATAATAATGGCAATCAAATGACATGCTGACAGTTTAAGTGTATTCACACATTTATTTGGCTTAAAGGGACACACTCTGGGATGACTGGTGCAATATATGACCTACTTTTCTCCATTTGCAAAACCTGTATCATTCTTAAAGGGATTGTGTTTAAGAGTTCATGTATTTTCATAGGAATAAATCAATACTGATTTGCCAACAACGACTGCATTTAGAAACCAACATAGAAACGAGCAGCCTCAGATTTCACATTTGTGAAATACAGAAAAATAGAAAGATTTAAAAATAAGAGACATTTCAATTATGAGTAGCCCAAGGGGTTTCCCTAAGGAAGCGCGAGAAAAAAAAATGTTCAGAGGCAGTCAGTTTGCTGTTACTCAGTCCCATTTTTGTTTCTCCTTTCTCTGAAGAGGACCAGACGTTGCAAGAGTGTGTCTCAGCACAGAACGTGACTGACCTCTCCTTAAAATACTCATAAATACTCCCACACACCCAGAGTTGGCCACACTTTATGTCCTTCTGGATGCCTCCAATAGTTTTAAATGCTTTCATTGAAAAAATCATAAGACATTGCAATGTAACCACACTGGGATCCTGGGAACAAGGAGAGGGAAGAGGGCTGGAAGGCAGAGATTTTTATTTTTTTTTTCCCTCCAGCCGGAGTCACATTTCAAGCATTTCTCTGCAACCACAGAGCTAAGCCTTGCTTGAGAGAGAAAGGAAGCAATTGTTATTTAATCCCCCGCCTCTAGGAGCCAGGTCTTTAAGAACATGCCAAATATCACAAGATTTGCGACAGATCCCCCCCAGTACTGTTCCTTTCCTGCGAGGGCCCTTTTGTGGTGAAAACCTGCCAGGCAGTGTGGAAACAAAGGCCTCCGCTGCCCACTCCGTGGCACCTTCCCGTCCCTCATAGCCATTTGCGCCCATCGCCCAGCAGTAGCATCACAACTGCTTCGGAAGCGCCAGGCCCTTTCGTTAGGAAAACCAAGGAGGTCGAGCTGGGGAAAGCCACAGATCATGCCCAGGCTGCCCATGCCGCTTCTTACTTCTTGAAAACAAATGATGCTGGCGTACTTGCAACAATTACGTGATGGATGCTGATGACGCAGTTCGAAGGATAGTTTATAGCCATGGCATTGAATATTGGTACAGCCCATTACGATCCCTTTTGGGCTAGGGAACAGAAAGGGGAAGGAAAACAGGCTAAGCGATCAATGCTACCCCATAGATTCACTAATGCATTTCATTAGCTGCATCCACACCAGCACTGATAGCTGCAATCCTGTAACTGACTGATTTAACTCAGCGCGGTGCAAAGTGCTGTAGTAAGCATCTCTGAGTGAATGAGCCAGTGGGCTCCCTAGAAAGCAAAATACAGAGAAGCACGGTGCTAATCTATTTACCTATTATGATACCCTAGTATTAGTTACAGCTTATCACCTCAGTAAATCACCGC